CAATCACAAGCTTGTGGGTGGCATCTTTTAAATCTCACCCCTAGGGAGAAAGACAGGTGGTCTAGGGAGAGAGAGAGCAGGCAAAAGCTTTTTCAGAGACTTCATGAAAGCTGATTGGTAAGAAATGAAAGAAAATGCCACCACCAGCCTCACTGCCACCCCCTGACTAGAATGTAAGATTTCTTTAACACCTTAGCAGACATACTCCAGCAGGAATTACACCACCTTACTGGCCCACACTGAGGGATGAATCACTGCCTTAAAGTCTTTACTCAGAGCGGGGTCTTCTAATGAGGATGGAGACTCACATGGAAGAATGCAAAAACTGATACTAAGTAAATTCCCAGCCCTGTGCTAGGTTCTATCCATTACCTTCCTTAATAGCCACCTGAGGAGGGAGACATTATTGTTCCCATTATGCAGATAAAAAACAGAGGCCTGGAGAGAGAAAGGCATTTTTCTGACATTATACATATTGGTAAAACAAGGATTCAAACCCAGGTCAATGCGACTCTAATCTTGGTCAGTCCACCTCGCCCATTGAATCGAGAGGGAGGAAGGTGCTCAGAAAAGGGACGGCAGCAGACCTAAGGTCAAACAGCCTTCTCTGTGACTTTGTCAAGAGAAGTCTCAACACTCTCTCACACCAAGAGGTTTAGTTGTTAATCTCATGCTGTTCCATGCTGAGTATCATATACTTTCCCTTTCTTCCTGCCCTTCTCTGGGTTTGTGTCTCTAGTTTGGGGCTTCAAAACCCATATAGAGTGAATCCCATCAGCCTTCTCCCCATTATCTGCTGTCAAAATTGTTATGTGTTTGGAACACATTTTCCCTTGTGTATTTATATGTACTCTTTGTGCTATATGGATAAAAGCAGAGATACCTGAATAAGGGGAGTGTTGGTCAAGTTACAGCTGAAATATGGTGTTTTCAACTTGTTAAATTCTAAGTGCCACATCCTGCAAGAAACATTATCCAGAAGAGGGAAGCAGGATAGGACAGGGTCTAGGAACAAAGCCATATGAGGAATATTTGGAGGAACTGAAAATGTTCGGCCTGGTTAGACTTGCAAATGTTTGAGCAGCTCCAAGCCACACAAGAATAGAAGTTAAGAAGAGAAGGAGTTCTAACAAATGGATTAGTGAATGAATGAAAAACAATGAAAGCCATCAATTAATGGCGTTCATCTCTTCAACATCTATTGAGAATCCACTGTCCTCCATACTCAGCACTAAGGTGTGTATGAAATGGTTTCTTTTGGTGGTAGGCAACCTCCAGTCCCAGGAGGAATCCAAGCAGGGGTTGAGTGACTACTTTTCAAGGGCAGCATTAAGGAGATTCTAGTACTGAATGGATGACTGGAAAACATGAGTTCTAGGGCACTGCAATTCAGATTTCCAAAGCTCCTTAAACATAGAGACAGTTGTCTTTTTTTTTTTTTTGTACCATCCAAAACACTTAATGTAGGATACTACATGCTCTAATTGTTGACAGGTTGGTTGACTAACGTAGCACATGACTGTGCTATCCACTTGGATAGTCAGGGTGTGCAATGGGGTGAAAAAGCGAGTAGTTGTTTTCCATGCCCCAAGAGAATTAAATGAGAAGAGGGCTGAAACAAAAGCAAAATGGAGTTGGCTCTAACCAATGTGTTGACCCTGAAGGTTACTGGTCACTGAAATGAGCAACGGAGGGAAAGTTGTTTCTCTGTTCCAAGTGGTTCCTTGAAATCTCTAGGTACCCAATTTCACAAGACAGTAATCACAGGGTGCTCATTAGACATAGCCCTGAGCTATACGATCAGAGCTGGACAGAATTATTCAAATTGTCCTGGCACCTGCTGGACTTCACTGTCTTAACTGATTGCCCTGCCTTCTGACCTTGTGTCTGCCTCCTCTTACCCACAGCTTTTGGTGGCTCTAGGCGATTTCTCCATGAGCTCTGGGGAATAATGTTGGCTGTATCTCTGCCTCCAACCTTTGCATCATAGGCTGAACTTGCCCCTCACTTCTCAGGATAACACTTAACCCTCACTGTTTTCAACACAGAAACATGATTCTGGGAAAAAGAATGATGCTAGGTACCAGGTATTGGGCAAAGTGTAGTACATCCCTGACTTGCTTTTAGGCCCCCAAAAAATCCTTTCTGCAGATGAGGATCTAAGAAGTTAGAAATGTTGCCAAAAACACACAGCTAGTAAGTGGCAGAGTCGGGTTCAACTGGGTATTATTTTTCCCTTTTCCTTGCTCCAAATCTCATGTTCTTCCTACTTGATGGGAAAAGGGCTAACCCCATGCAGAAGTCTCTCTCTCACCCTCACAGACCTTCCCAGAGCCACCTGCTTGGGTTTAGAGTGTGGGACAGAACATGCTGTCTTCCCAATTGATGAATGCCAGCTGTGCCTCCCTTTGCTATGAGCCAAGAGTTGTGCTAAGGGACTGCTTAAAGTGCAACCATTTAAAGCACTTTTCCTAATCCTGTTCAGGTTTGTTTCATTCAACTAGGTGCAGGCAGGAAGGACCAGCCAGCTTGGACAACTGCACTGCCAATTTCTTTTGATCTAACAGCATCTGCTTCAGGGAATAGTGTGTTCTGAGGAACCTCATGAACGAGCTTTGCGCCAAATGAGAAATTCCACCTTGTGATGATCCTTCCTGTCTCCTCTGAGGCGTAGTTTCTAAACTATAGTAAGTGCTCAGCAAATAGACGGTGGATGACTAAATGCAAATCTGGTGCCTCAAGCTCTTCATCTTTTAAATGATAAAGATAACTGTATCTTCCTAGCAGGAGGTGAGGACCAAATCAGCAAGCTCATTTTATTCTTTTTTTCTTTTTATTTTTTCAGAGACAGGGTCTCTCTCCATTGCCCAGGGTGAAGGGCAGTGGCCCAATTATAGCTCACTGCAGCCTCGAACTCCTGGGCTCAAGTGATTCTCCTGCCTCAACCTCCCAAGTAACTGAGACTACAGGTGCATACCACTGCATCCAGCAATTTTTTTTTTTTTTTCTTTTTTTTTTTTTGTACAGACAAGGTCTCGCTTTGTTGTTCAAGCTGTGCTTGAACTCCTGAGCTCAAGCAATCCTCCTGCCTTGGCCGCCTAAAGTGTTGAGATTATAGGCATGAGTCACCATGCCTGGCTTAATTTTCATCTTTTTTTTGTGTGTTTCTTAAGACACAGTTTCGTTCTATTGCCATAGGCTGTAGAGCAGTAGTGCAGTCATAGCTCACTGCAACCATGATTTCCTGGGCTCAAGTTGTCCTCCCACCTCAGCCTCCTCAGCAACTAGGACTACAGGTGTGCACCACCATGCCCAGCTAACTTTTTGATTTCTAGTAGAGACGAGGTCTTGCTATGTTGCCCAGCCTGATCTCAAACCCTTGAGCTCAAGCAATCCTCCTGCTTTGGCCTCCCAAAGTTCTGGGATGACTCATTTTTTTTCTTGACACATACTCGACACTTAGTAAATCTCAATAATATTACTCTCTCTCCACCCCACTCCTCCAGCTTCCTTTGCCCCTCTCTTTGGGCAATGTCTGGAAGCAAAGAGCTCCTCTCCTTGGGGTTGCAGACTACTCACTTCAGCCACAGGGTCATCATTCACTGGTCACTTGGGGTTTGTTGCACAGAGCCCAGGTGAAGATTCCACAGTCAAGATTCTGTGATCAAGGTACTGTTGGTTACTCGAAACCCATGAGTGCTTGCTTAGCCCCTGATGAAGGTATTTCATGCCTGATGCCTTCCACTCTTTCTCATTCCCCAGTCTACTTGACCCTACTCTTGATTTGGGAAATAGGGACATAATTGAATGCAAACCAAGCCAAGAGAGTATAGCTGCTCAGCCATAAGACCATGAAGTAACATTAATAGGTCTCATCCTATTAAGTGTGTCCTGTACTCTTAGCAATACTGAAGCTAGAAAAATCATCCCACAATATCCCACAGACATGAGCTTACAATGTCTTACGGAGGGAGAACGTTCATCCTAAGAGGCTTCAGGGAACATCACTATCCAGCCTGTAACAAGGCCTTATCTTGTAAATGTCCAGAGGACCAGGGAAGGGTTGGTTTCATGTGCTGGCTTCACTGCAGAGCCTAGGGATTAATATATAAGGCATTCCGTGTTGGTGAAGCATTTGATGAATGGCTGGTTTCAGCTAAGAATTATGTGGTCAAGGAGTGAGTTTCTCGTACTTAGCCACCTCCTTTGGCTGCCCTGTGATAAACACACTTGTGTGTGTGGGCTGAAATTTAGCCTTTTTTTTTTTTTTTGGCCTGTCTTGCATCTGAAAATCTACAGAAAAGTTTGGAGGTGGTGGAAGCTTAAGAAGGATCATCATTTGTATTTAGTTAGTTAGCTAATACATTTATCAGGGATGTCTTTTTTGTTATTGAATTTATTATGATGAGTTCAGTATTTGTTGGCATTCTAATGTATTTAACTTGCACTATGATCATACGAGGTAAATATTATCACTGTTTTACAAATGTAAAAGACTGAGGCTCAGAGATTATAGGTAAGTTGCTCAGTTTCTTAAATTTAGAATATGGAAGAGATAGCGTTCAGATTTTGGTCTTTTCTATTCTGAATATATTATTTTTTCCACTAAGACCAGTGCCTTTCTTCAAATACAACTTTATAACAATAATGACTATTTTGGGAAATCACTTTTAGTTACTAATACCTTAAAAAAAGTATTTTATATTCCAAGTTCCCATGAGCATTTTTTTCCATATGGTTATGCATTTTAATATAGTTATAATCATTACATAGAAATATTTTGTATTCTATTGTCTTGACTTAATGCTATAGGGTATGCTTTTCCCAATATCACTAAATAATCATTAAAATTTATAAGATGGAAAAATAATCCATTGGGTTAACTTCTCATAATTTACTAGAACATTCTTCTATTATGAGCCACTTTGTTTTTTTCAGCTTTTGCTATTATAAATAATGCTTCAGTGAAGATATTCATACATAGATATCCTTTTCCCAAGGCAGTGTTTTGTAGAAGAAACAGGGGATTGGAATCAGACTGCATTTGAATGCAGATTCTCCCTTATAATGGTGCCATATCAGGTAAGTCACTTAGCCATTGTTCTAATTTCCTCATCAATAAAATGGGAACAATAAGTTTCAAAGGCTTGACTTGCAGAATTAGCAGCAGAATAACGTGCGTAGCTCAGAATAGATAGGCAATAAATTTTAGTTACACTACCCTATTTGGAAAACTCCATAAGTAGAATGTCAGAGTGCATATACTTTTGAATTTTGACACCTACTGTAACATATCTTTTCAAAAGGGTTAGAACAACTTATGCTGTCACAAGCAATGTATGAAAGTACTGTTTTGCCACAGACTCAGAATCCATTTTATCAGTTTTGGTGCCTATGTACATATATAATATAATTATATAATTATTATATAATAATATAATTATATAATTATATTGTAAAATTATTATATTATATATTATATAATAATTATATTAATAAATATACATTATATATAATATATACTATATTTATATATTATATAAATATATAATAAATATATAGTTAATATTACATATAATATATAATATATTATATAAAATATATTATATAATTATTATATAATATATATTATATAATATGTTGTATAGAATATGTAATATTAAATATATATATTTTTTTAGATGGAGTCTCGCTCTGTTGCCCAGGCTGGAGTGCAGTGGCATGATCTCTGCTCACTGAAACCGCTGCCTCCTGGGGTCAAGTGATTCTCCTGCCTCAGCCTCCTGAGTGACTGGGATTGCAGGTGCCTGCCACGATGCCCAGCTAACTGTTTTGTATTTTTAGTAGAGACAGTTTCACCATGTTTCCAGGCTGGTTTCAAACTCCTGACCTCAAGTGATCCTCTAGCCTCGTCCTCCCAAGGTGCTGGGATTACAGGCGTGAGCCACCGTGTCTGACTGGTGCCCATAATTTTGAAAGGGTAACAGGATGGGAATGAAAAGAGCCCTGTGCTCTTTACTAGTGAAGATGCGGGACTATATGATCACAAAAAAATGAGTCACAAAGCTTTTGAAGGGCAGAGACTGATTAGGGCCAGCAAGGCTTATAGGTAAGCCATATCTGACTAATCACATCCCCTTGAACCTAGGGACTGATGGGATATAAAGAATCTATTCTTGACAGGAAACATTATCTGACCTCAGCATGGGTGCCTGGTAGACACTGCAAAGCCTTCCTAACTGATGATTTTTTTTAAGGAGAATGTGTCATCTGATAAGAAGGCTTAACAAGATCCTCTCTCAAATTGAATTTGACATATGCCTGGCACTTGGGCAGCTGAGCCTTCCCTCCCCAGCCAGCTCTCTGCAGCTACAGCCCAGGGCATCAGGGCTTTGTCCTGCCTGCTGCTGGCACAGCTGCTAATCCCAGGCTAATGATCAATCCTGAGGCAGCGGCAGCAGAGAGGCCGGGAGAGCCAGGGGTGGGGAGAGGGCCAGGAGGAGCCAGGTTTCCTAGGGCAGTCACAGAAGGCAGCCTTCCCAGAGTTGTTCCTGGATAGGAATTGGGCCAGCGCCTGGGTCCCTATCCTAATACGGGCAGTGCGTTAGAAAGGATTCCAGAAAGAGAGAAAAAAGTGGTTGCTGGGGCTGACTTGATACCCACGTTAGTTCGTTCAGCCTATAAGCCCACCCTGTAAGACAGGCAAGATTGGGGACTCTCTTCTCAGGACATCTCCTTAAGGTTGTTCTTGATTTTCTTTCATTTTATTTTTATTTTACTTGTGAAAAAGATTGGAGGGAAGGGGTACATCAGAGGTGATTTGTCTTGGATGTTCTATTTATCAGAACTAGACTGAAAATCTCAAGCCAAAATATGAATTTTAGAAATACTATCCCGTACTATCTCATGTCTCTCTCTCCATCTCTCTCTCTGTCTCTCTCACACACACGCGCAGTCATAAAATCTATACGGTATTACGGTAGATAGATAGATAAAGAGAGAGAAAAACTTATTTTCAGTGTTACAATACCTGGACTCATGTCTAATCCACGACTGCTGTGTGATCTTGGGAAAATCTTGCCTCCATGTTTTGATTTTTCAGCTTAAAAAACGAGAGTAGCATATATGAATGAATAAGTCCTCAAGGAGAAAGCCTTAAAGGCCAACATACACATGAAAAGATGCAGATTTATGTAACAGTGATATTCTGTTTAAAAGCTGTCAGATAGCACATGTGTTTGGGTGTGTGTAACGTTACCAAGTGTTGGAAAGGATATCGATCAAGAGAAATTCTCATTCATGCTTGATGAAAGTGTAAACTGGCAAAACTACTTTTTTTTAATACTCATATAAGTGAATGCTTATATGGTAAAGATAGATGATTCTCATATTCTAAGGTCTAGGAATTGTACACTTACCTTTGCCTTGGAACATACATGTAGGTAGGAGACATGCACAGGACTGTATACTTTTGGCATTGTTTGTACATATGAAAAATCATAAACAACCCAAGTGGGAACCCAAAAGCAGAATGGAAAACTAGATTTTGGTATTTTCCTGCCATAGTACATTACAGAGCAATGACAATGAATGAACTAGAGCTATACATATCGTCTGCATGCATAATCCTGAAAAAACAAAGAGCCAAACAGAAAACAAAACAATAAGTTGCAGAAGTTGCCAGAAAAGATAAGAAATGACGTAACTAACCGCATGTTGCTTACAAGAAATCCACTTTAATAGGTTAACACATAGGTTGAAAATAAACAAAATATGTTGAAAGTAAAAAGATAAGAAAAGATATTCCATGCAAACCCCACTAACCATAACCAAGATGTAAGGGCTAAAATAACATTAGACAAAATAAATTTCAAGATAAAGAGTATCATGGATCAGAAAAATAGCAGATTTTAACATATAAGGGTCAATAAGTCAGGAAGATGTAACAATTATAAATGGATATGCACTTAACAGAATTTCAAAATACAATGAAGAAAAAAGTAACAGAACTCAAATCGAAATAGACATATCTGCTATTAGAGTTGATTTTAACACTCTTCTTAGTCATTGATAAAACAGTTACACAAAGAATCAGCAGTGATATGAAATATATGAATGACACAGTAAACTGCTTGGACCTAGTTGACACTTATAGAGCAATAAACCTAATAACTGCAAAATCTTTTCAAATGTACGAGGAGTGTTCACCACGGTACACCGTATAATGTAAATGTCATAAACAAGTCATAGTATACTTCAAAAGTTTGAAATCTTATAGGGTAATAGGGTAAGTTATATGGCAGTGGCATAATTACATTTGAAACCAATAAAAATAAATATTTTGAAATTAAACTATACGTTTATAAACAATCTATAGGTCAAATAAGAAATCACAAGGAAAAATTATAAAATATTTCAATCTAAATGATAAAGACAGTTTATCATATCACAATTTGTGAGAGGCACATCTAGGAGTACCTACAACTGTATAAAAAATGCGTGAACAGGATATTTATTGTAGCATTATTTGAAATTTCAAAAAATTGGAATCTGCCTGAAAGTTTCAGCAGAGCAGTTCTGTTGAATAAATTACGGTACAGTCACTCAATGAAGTATTATGTAGTTGTTGAAAGTAAGGAAGATCCTTGTGAACTGATATAAAATGATTTCAAAGAGATATTTATAAGTAAAAAAGGCAACGTACAAATGAGCATACGTGTAAGAAAAAGGATAAGTAAGGAAATAGTCACATATCTGCTTATCGTTACATAAAGAACATAAGAAGGATAAACTGGAAAATAGTGAAATTGGATACCTACAAGGTGTGAGGTGAGGTGGGATGGAAAAGTATGAGAAGGAGTGACCCTTTTCTAATTATGTATTTTCAAATGTTTGACTTTTGGATACATGCTAATAATAAAATGTCAATGTAACCCCCAAATTAAATTAAAGCCAAAAAATGTAGAGAACCCTAAAACTGAAAGCAAACTAACAAATGAACCTAATTGTTTTTCAAGTTAATACCATAACTAGCTGGAAGGGAATAAAGAACAAACTATTTCAAATACCTTATGAACACAACTTGTGACTACCTTTAGTTTTGGTCAGATTGGAGTTGTGTTGGGGGAGAATTGAAAATAATTGATAAACTCCTTTTAGCAGGTTTGCCTATCATAGTGTTTGAGTGAAGCAATTCTGAATGTACTTTATAAGTACTGTAGAACTGAACAAAAGAGTAAATGGTTTTGTTTTGCTTTGTTCTGTTTGAGACAGGATCTCACTCAGTCACTCATGCTGGAGTACAGTGGCGTGATCACAGCTCACTGCAGCCTCCACCTCCCAGGCTCAGGTGATTTTCTTCCCTCAGCAACCCAAGTTGTTGGGACTACAGGCAAGCACCACCACGCCTAGCTAATTTTTTATTTTTTTATTTTTAGTTGAGATGGCATTTTGCCATGTTTTCCAGGCTGGTGTCAAACTCCTGGACTCAAGTGATCTGCCCACCTTGGCCTCCCAAAATGCTGGGATTACAGCTGTGAACCACTGTGTCCAGACAAAAGAGCAGATGTGTAAATGATATTGAGGGTCAAAGTCCTGATTGTGAAAGAAGGTATACAAACGTAATATGGGACAGGAGAAGTCACAAAATAATCCTATGGGGGATGGATTGGAACTGGAGATATCTCTAAATATGCACATATGTGTGTGTGTATATATGTTTAAATGATCATATATGTGTGTGCATGCATGTATGCATATCTAGGTTTGTGCGTATGTATCTTTATGTAAATATGCATGTAGTTATATATGTCCATGCATGTATTTTTTAGCTCTGTTTGTTAAAGGGCCAAGAAGCAAATATACTCCTGGAATAACAAGGATAAATAGCACCCATAATTTTGTCTCTACTACCATTGCTCAATTAAAGAAACTAGGACTTTTCGTATTCCAGGGCTGGAACTAGGGTAAAAGATTAACCTGGAATATCTTACTATGCAAGAAAATAAGAAAGTGCTTTAAAAAATGGTGGGAGGATGTCACAGGGACAAAGGAAATAGCTTTAAGGAGTTCTCACTGACCAA